GCTGGTCCATGTAGCTATAGGTGAGAGAGCTGAGCTACTGGTACCGCTGCAGGATGGAGGTGCGTGTGGCCGGTCACTGCGGCTGTCTCCCTGTTCTAACAGTAGCATAGAGAATGTAAAATACGTAACTCATCCTCTAGCAAGAGTACTGCTGTTTGCCATTATCCAGCAGTCCGTAACATTCCCTTTTTAAGAAGAATTGCGCCTCATTGCTTTCCTACTGTGTGACACCTTCTTCAACTTTCACAAGGAATAAAACTAGAACTTTAGGAGAGGCTTTGTAATCTCTCTGTTACACGTAAGTGCAACTGTTTTGTCTACTAAGTCCAACTATAATTTTATTTTTAGTTATATGCAATTCCGTTTCATCTTCACAGGAGTGAAAGTGACAGGAGGACCGTTCTGATGGCAGCCCTGTGATTGAGGCTGTGTGAAGTCGGGCCCGTAGATCCCGTCAGCTGTGTCTGGGTGAATTCAGGTAAGAGTGAGTGACTGCTGATATAATCCCATCGTTTCCAAAAAATTATTTCAAACCCTAAAAATGCTGTTAGTTTTTACTGAATATAAAAACACAATTTTATCCTAAAAAATGATGAAACACCTAAAATAAAATTGAAAGTAGGAACAAAAACCTATTTTTAAAAAATAACTTCTGAGATCCTTCTGTTCTGTGTCATTGCGTTACTCAGCTGCTTTTTCCCTGTAAGGCAAATTGTTGTGATAGTGAATGATTGTTTGTTGATTTTCTTCATTATTATTGTTACTATTTTTGTTAATTTATTTATTTTTGGTACTAAGAATGAAACCTGCAACTTCAGAAATGAAAAACAAGGGCCGTAGCACTGAGCTACACCTCCAGCCTTCGTCATTATTTTTCTAACCAAATATTTGTTGAGGATCTCAGTTATTGTTTTGCTTGGAGGACTGAATCCTTAGTACTTATGAGTGCGAAATTATTTGGCAGCTCACATAACTAAAGATCATTAGATGCGATTATCCTGGGCTGATGAGGTAAACCTTGAATTCAGTGACCTGCATCTTTAAACACACCCAGGAGAGGACCAGGTGAAGATACAGTTGCAGACATATGTTTCTCTTCAGCCTGTGTGGTGCAACTGCAGGTCGCAGAGGAGCCACCAGAAGCTGGAAGACCCAGGGAACAAAATCTCCCTGTAGTTCACTGAGGAAGGGCAGCCTTTTCAACATCCTGACTTCGGACTTGTGGCTTCCAGAACTTGGAGAGCACACATTTCTGTTCCTGGAAGCTACTCAGTGGTAACTGTGGTTCTTTGTTTTGGCAACTTCAGGAAAGTAACACACCACTATTTCTGTAGTGCTCTGTATTGTAGACGTTGGTCTCTAGGTCCTGTCTATCAAGAGCAGGAATCACAAAGGATCATCAATACCAGCAGGCAGAGGCACCAGACGTGTCTCAGAAACTACAGATTTCATCTGATTTCTGGATACTTTTACTTGTATGCTGCATCCACATAGAGGAACCGAACTCGGTAGACCAGAGATTAGAATCGTTATCTCAACATTCTTAAAGTTACGATCTTTGATTTGTATTTGCGATCTCTGTGGTTAGAACTGTGATTCACTTGGAAAATGGCATTAGTGAATTTAGACGCAAGTGAAATTCCTTCTGTCTTAATGCCCATAACCTCCATTGACTAAGCAGTTTTTTCCCCATTCGGTTCCGTACATTTTACCATTTATCCCTGCCTTTTCAATCTCATTTTTGTTGTCTTCAGGTGTGTACAGTCTCTTTCCAAAAGTAGTAGAATAATCATTAAATATTTAAACTTTTTCTGAGGTTTCCTCTTCGAACTGTCCCTGAAAAGTGGACCCCACATACTTACCATTTCATTGGTCTCCCATGTCTACTGTCCAGATAAAAATTAACTACCAAGAAAAAGAACACCCTTGTGATCAGATTTTTGATTTCCCTAAATTCAGACTTCACATTTATGCTTTCCTTGACATCTATTAAATTATATGAAAATTGCAAAATGCAGTAATTTTTAAAATAGTGTATATTTTCTTGTTTTTGTCTTTAGTTATTTTTCTCACCAGTCAAATAGGAGTCATCAATACCAGCAGGCAGAGGCACCAGACGTGTCTCAGAAGCTACAGATTTCATCTGATTTCTGGATACTTTTACTTGTATGCTGCATCCACATAGAGGAACTGAACTCGGTAGACCAGAGATTAGAATCGTTATCTCAACATTCATAAAGTTACGATCTTTGATTTGTATTTGTGATCTCTGTGATTAGAACTGTGATTCACTTGGAAAATGGAATTAGTGAATTTAGACGCAAGTGAAATTCCTTCTGTCTTAATACCCATAACCTCCATTGACTAAGCAGTTTTTTCCCCATTCGGTTCCGTACATTTTACCATTTATCCCTGCCTTTTCAATCTCATTTTTGTTGTCTTCAGGTGTGTACAGTCTCTTCCCCAAAGTAGTAGAATAATCATTAAACATTTGAACTTTTTCTGAGGTTTCCTCTTCGAACTGTCCCTGAAAAGTGGACCCCACATACTTACCATTTCATTGGTCTCCCATGTCTACTGTTCAAAGATAAAAATACTCCCAAGAAAAAGAACACCCTCGTGATCAGATTTTTGATTTCCCTAAATTCAGACTTCACATTTATGCTTTCCTTGACATCTATTAAATTATATGAAAATTGCAAAATGCAGTAATTTTTAAAATAGTGTATATTTTCTTGTTTTTGTCTTTAGTTATTTTTCTCACCAGTCAAATAGGCAAATTTTTAGTATCCAAAGAGTTTCACAGAAAGGCTAATTTTACTGAGCAGCATAAAGTTAAGTTTTCATCTGTTATAAACTAATGTCAAAGATAAGAGTGGAAAAGAGAAGAGGCCCAAAGCTCAATAAAATCACTAAACTTACTTACTAGCTTACAATAGAAACAATGGCAAGAGACAGAGAATTTGTGGACTGATCGTAGAAGAAGGCTGTTAAATTTAAGGGTAGTTTTAAAATCAAGTTTAGTTTAGTGTAAATGTCTCGAAGAGATAGAGGATCAAGAAAGTGTACAAAAAAAGGAAAGCTTTGGTTTTGAGACCGTAAATAAAGATTAGATTGATAATATGATTTTAAGTTTTTATTTTCTTAGAAGACATTTTCTTATGAACATTGTCATGTATTAGTAAGAAATTCTAAATAGTGAGTTGTAAAAGCATGGATGAAAAAATGTGGAGGGATGTTAATACAAAAGGAAAAGGAGCTACAAATATATTGTGTCCCCACTCCCGCAGTAGGTAAGACTAACAACACTTTCATCTGAAAGGTCTCTAGGGAAATCTTTCAGTGGAAAATAAATTTAAATCATATTCAAAAGATGCATTGTGTTTTATCTACATTAAAATGCAAAGAAACATAGCCATTAAGCTAGTGAAGAAGTTGAAGTAAGGTGATGTTTTAAAATTTATTTTTAGTACACCTATATGTGCAAAACATACTCTATTTTAATCAAGATATTCAAATCAATCTTCACCTCTACAGTGTTAACATTGGCTTTCATTTAATGAAGAGGTGTAAAGAAGAAATTGAATATTTATGTAGCATGCAGTTTGAAAGAATAGATTCCTCATAAATTAATTTCAATGAATTCAGTATTTCAGCAAAATAATTGAATGTGCAAAATAGTTGATCATCAATATGTTGGCCTCTGTGTTGCAGAAATGATAATTAGCTCGATCTAAACTATTTGTGCAATGATGGTACCATTTATTATCTAAAAACCATGCCTTGGGGTAACGTTCTTCATAAAATGGTTTAGTTTACTTTTAGAACATGATTAGCACTGAGAAAGTTATTTTAGTAAAAACTTTAAAGTTAAAGTGATAATTTTATGTTTAGATTTACAAAGTACAGTAAAGGAGGGGGAAGAGCAGCGTTTATGTTAATGTATTGAGTAGATGAAGAAACAGGAGCAGCTCTGTCGGAAGAAAATGGCAGTTGTCCTCTTTACATTGCCATTTCCTTCATCGGGGGCCGACAGATCGCATCTTTCTGATCAGGCGACCACCTGGGAAGCAGCACCTGTGTGTTTATATAAGCAGTCTGTTCTGTGCATTGATCACACACCTACATTTGAACAGTGTAATTGCTGTTCTTAGATTGCAAGAAGCACAAATTAGTTCTGGGTATTTAAACAAGGAAGACATTTGGTCAAAACGACTTTGCTGGGTTTGCTCAGAGAATCAGGGCGTAATCAGATAAAACAGTCCTCAGAAAAGACAGGAGCCAGACTCTTCCAGGGGGATCCAGAGGACAGGAAATGGAGAGGGACTGAAGGCTGCTGACCTGGACCTGAATTTGGGCCAATAACGTGTTTTAGTGTTGCCCTCCCTCGCTTTAGTGCTGTCACTCCCTGTGCGTGGAGAACTTGGTTTCCAACAGGAACTTCGAAGTTGAGAGTTGGGAGCGGGAAGTGGAGATGGCACAAGTGAAAACAACAGGCAAGGCTGAAACCCTTGCTCAGAAGGGGCAGTCAAAGCATCAAACAATAAAGGCATAAAAATCTCAAATGATAAAGATTTTGGATGAACTTAGATTCAACAATCATGTTGCACAGTTCTCATACGTGTTTACTGTCGTGGAATGTTCATTTGTTCTTCCGTTCATATATGCAGTTATTGATTGCCCACTATATGCCAATTTCTGTACCCGACAGGGAACCTAAATATAAACAGCTGAATCATTCTGTGTGTATCTTATAGTCTAGCGGGAACTGAAATGTAACCATGAGTATATAGCGGGAAGTCTGGGATGGGTGGTATGCTTGTTCAGAGGACTATAGTTACGAGGAACTTGCAAACTCCATGGCTTGTGGAAAACAAACAAGACAATTAGTTAAGAAAGAAACAGTTATGCAGAATAAGATCTAAAATCAAGGCATCGGAAGGGTCTCGTTTGTATCCGCATTTCTTTAGCTTTTGGTGACTCTCAGTATTCCTTTACTTGAAGTAGCTGTAAAAGTCCAGCCTCTGGGTGGGCTTTCTTGTCTTCCTTGTGTGTCTCTGTGTACTACCCTCCTATAAAAACACAGCAGTGGTCGGAATTAGGGACCATCCTAAAGCAGAGTGATTTTTATCTCAACATCTTTGGCTCTTTATATTTTCAAAGACCTTATCTCCAAATGAGATAATATTTTAAAAGTCAAGGGTTGGCACCAACTTTTTCGGGGAACACTAATCACCTTTAGAAGCGTGTATCTCCTCCAGTTGCTGGTCCTAGAAGGGGCTGGGTAAAAGGCTGGCGGGAGAGATCATAGCAAAGAAGCTAACGGGCCAGGTGATGATAAAACATTTTAAGGGATTTGACATTATCCTGAATGTAGAGGTTGTAGAAAATGCCACTCGAGGGAAGTAAGTATGTGAATGACCTAAGCAGATTTATGGTTTTACAAAAATTACTTTGACGGGGCTGAGGATTTAGCTC